GATCTTCGACACAAAAGAGATTGCGGACGGTTTGGTGTGGCAAGAAACCAACATCATTATGTAAGAAATCAGTGACATCAGCCATGGCATGGACCATGGTTTCGTTGTCCCACAGCTCCCAGTGGTCAGAGGCATGTACAATGGCCATGTAATGGCCAGGTCCATGCACAATGCAAGATGAGATGCGGGATGGAGGATTACACCACTCACCTGCTCGAGCATGGCATAGTTCAAGTTGACGGTCCCTCATTGCTACTTGCAGGATAAAAATGGTAAAACCTCCTTCCCTAGTATAATTACAATCCTTTGGCTGTAGTTGGGGAAGATCAGCATCAAGCTGAAGGGCGATTGCAAGGAAGTTTGACGGTGTACAAAACGAGCCGTGGAGAATGTGAAAACAGATATTAGTTGATGTCAGACCACAAAGATTGGTGAGGTTTTCAGGCTGGTGTGTTGGATGCTGGCCAACAATTTGCAGATAACCCGGATGATGTTGCAAGCCCAAACTGTCTTAAGTTGTTTGCTGGTCAGTCATTTGCAGATCACCCATGTGGTCTGCCCATGGCGGGGCAGAAATTTGCGGTTCATGCTGGTCATCCATTTGCAACTGCAATCCGGGCAGGTCATGTTCCAATCCCTCAGCGTTCGGGGCTGCATCCTGAGTAGGGACTATCCTTGGAGTTGGGAGTGTACTCTGGGCAGGGACCACATCCTATTGTACAGGTGGGTCACAAATCTCTAGTGCGAAAGGGCACAAAACATGGTGCTGTGGCTGCCTGCACGCAGCCGGACTGTATGCAGGAGGCATAGGAGCGGATGTAGCCATTTGGAACAAAGGAACCGCAACAACCTGTGGAGCGGGCACGCAGAGAATCGGGATAGACAAAGAGACAGGCTGCTGATCCGTGGACAAGTGACGATGTCACGCATGTCATTGACGATACACAATAGGAGGAGGGGCGGTGTTGCAAACAGAAGAGGAGGATGTCCCTGACAATGAAGGCGGAACAATGGGATCGATGTAAACTGGAGAATTTGTTCTCAAACGAGAACGTGGAGGGAATGTGGGTGGCGAAGAGAAAAGCAGCCATCTGCGGCCAAGCACAGGAAGGGATGAAAGGGGGATGGATTGGGCAAGATTTCGAAACATAGGGCACAAGTGTCGAAGACACTGAGCTTCTTTGTGCTGGAGCTGGGGCACGGAAAGCTGTAGCAGCTAAAAGTATAGTATGGGAAATTCCAGCCACAGCAGCAGAGGAAGTTCCAGCCAGAACTGCCGCAGAGGCAACTTCCGTAGCAGAAACTGCCGGATTGAAAACCGGAGCAGTAGAAACTGCAATAGCAGCAGTTAAAAAAGCAGGGACAGGATGAGAGCCACGTGGGGGCAAAGAAGATGCAGGGACCATCGCAGCAGTCCTCGAAACCACTGAGAGCAACATGTCACATGTGTAGGATAGCAATGTTGGCAGGAGCACATGTAGCAAGTCCACCCTTTAGCAAGGATTGGTTGGCAATGCCCCCGAGAAAGCATGTGATGAATAAGCGTTGTCGCCGCAGTTTGGAAGTCCTGCCAATTTTTGTTACAGATTTGTTCAAATCTGGTCAAGTGCCCAGTGAACACACCTGCCAGTTTATGGGAAGGGATGGTGGAGGTAGCACTTGGATAACGAATGACAAGGAAATCCCAGGCAGCCGCTTTATCAAACACGCTCATGCGAAGCAAGCCATCAGAACATACCCGTAGATGCATATACCTAGAAAGGTACACGAGCCATCTGTCGTCGTAGTTTCCGTCTACTCGAACCCATAGTGCTCTGAAGGAGGAGGTAATTGCCCCCATGTAAGAACATCATCAATGAGGCGATCGATAAGTGAAGGCGTATCGCTGAGCGGCTTGGAGATCATGTTGACGAATGTCATCAACAAAGCATGCTTCATCCCAATATGGGCCAGCATTTATTCCCATTGGAATACTGATGATTTGCTTTCGAAATGTGCCATCTCTAGTATACAGAAAAGTGTTTTGTACAGAAAAAGCGAAGATGTTGGAAAATCTGAGAAACGGAAAGGGTATCCGGGTCTGAACCGGTTGTCCACTGGCCAAAGCGAGGTCCTCAAATAACCATGCGAGGTCCTCAAATAACCATGTTCAGGGCTCTGCAGCACGAATGCGTGTGAGTATGCTGAAGGACATAAGCATGGGCTTCATCAACAGCTTCTGCCACATTATTCAGAACGCGGTCATGAGGAAGGTTGGTGTAGATTGTGGTAAAATCAACCGAACCGTGCAAGGAGAAAGACCGCGAAGAGAGGACGCATTGTTTTTCAGGTCAATCGYCACCTCATCGGCACTCTGGACGATCCAGCACCACCGAACACCAACCTGTGGATAGAGCTCAGTGTTATCTCGCGAAGAGTACAGATCACTCCTTGCAAAGCAGCGCTGCGATTCGACAAAGTAGTGGTCATGCTAGCCAAGGGTTTGTGAGGAGGTTGTTCATGAATGGTGCTAATTGTAGGATGAGGGCGAGCGCGTGGGGGGACAGCAGTGTTGTTTTGTGCCGTGACTCCAAGAATGCTGCGAAGAGCTGGAGGAGACTTGTGAGCTTTGAGCACATAGTAAAGGTAAGGCAGGGTATCGGTGTGGGTGTAACCCCAATGTTGATTCCATATTGCATGGTGGTCAAGGGCAGCAGCAACGGACGGACTCATTGGGACGAGTATAAGGGGGACTGTCCAAATGGGTGGAAATCCTGGAAGTGGCAATGAGGGACCGTCAACATGAGCTACGCACTGCTCGAGCAGGTGCGTGGTTTAATCCTCGCATCCCACATCTCTTGCCTACATTATGCACCGACCTGGCCATTTGAAAGGCATTCGACGATGCGAACCCCAAATTGGAATCTCAAGGTGAAAGTCTCAGGCCGAGAGGGGCCAAGTCGGCCAGTTTCAGAAAAGTTGGAGTTGGGTGCCCCAGAGGTCAAGCCCAACAGGCACCCAGTCGACAGTCACATCCCAAAAGCAAAAGTCACATCCAATAGGCAAAAGTGACGTCTCACGGTGAAAGGTCATATCCCACAGGCAAAGGGCACTTCCCCAGGCAAAAGTCGTGTCCCACAGGCAAAAGTCACATCTCAAAGTCAAAGGAGATATTCTACAGGCAAAGGTCATACCTCATAGGCAAAGAGGCATATCCCACAGATGAAAAGTCGTGACTGACAGGCCCAAGCAGCAGCACACCAAGGGAAAATTCAGGGAGGTACCAGGCCTCGACATTCTGAAGCAAACAGGACGTGGCCATGTGGTACCAGTACCAAGTCAAGCCAAAGGAAGCAGAGACTGGGACGAGTTCAGGCTCAATACAAGTCAATATAAGGACTGGCCAGCCACATTTCAGGCAGATGGCTCATTCATGAGAAGTGTGGAAGTGCTGCTGAAGCGCTTGTGCGCTATCTGCAAGTGGCATGTGCGAGAGCCCTTCTGGGCAGCGCTGTACTGAGGGGAGGCGGCCATAGCTGCTCAGCTAGTAGGAGGAGGTAGACCTGAGTAGTAGCAGATGTATTCAGAGTCAAGATCCTCAAGTAGACAGAGAGGGGAAGAGAGAAGAGGGAGAGAAGAGGGAGAGAAGAGGGATAGAAGAGGGAGAGAGTGAGCTCATGCATGAAGAAGCCAGAGAGAGAAGAGAGTCACCTTCCTTGGATGAGGATGCTGGAACTGGGCTGCTGAACTCTGCGCTGACGAGTGCTGGTGGCTGGAACCCTGAAACTGCTTAAGATGATAATTTGTTGGGATTTCTAAGCTGCGCTTATCTGGACTTTGCATCTCTGGTCTCCAGTGTGGACTTCGTGAGATCTCTCATTGTGCGTGCGCTCAAGGTGACGAACGGTGAGGCTCAATGCACATTACATGGCCATTGCACATGCCTCTGACCACTGGGAGCTGTGGGACAACATCACCATGGTCCATGCCATGACTGATGTCACTGATTTCTTTCATAATGATATCCTGTTTTCTTGCCACAACAAACCGTCCGCAATCTCTTTTATGTCGAAGATCATTCCTCTGGCCCCGTGCTGCAGCGAGACATTGTACCAACACTCTGCGACCTTCTCCTTTGCACGGCTACGAAGACTGTTTCACAGAGCTGTAGCCGCCATCGTCTCTATATATACATTGTCATCTGGAAATCAGAACCAAGTATCTGGTGTGAAAAGCTATTTCAAGCAGCTCGTTTAACCGCCAGTGCACGACCCCAGCCTTGCTGAGAAACATTTTGTCGCCACCAAACTCTGTAGCACCGGCACTTCCGAGGCCCGCACGCCGTTGATGAAATTCACACGTTTCAGGCCTCCGGAAATCGAGGTGTCAGACCAAACGGCCAAGGTGGCCGTGTACTGGTGGTTTAAGAGCAGGGAAAACCATATCTCGCAACCGAGCTTCGTGTTATTACTAAAAAAAAAAAAAAAAAAAACGGACACCGAGTCACCGACTGATTTTTTCTGGAATTCTCCTGGTTCTCTTTCTCCCCCTTTCAGTTGAGTGTCCTTAGAACAGTGCACATAACTACACCTCACGTGCATCAGGCCCCTTCTAACACGGTCAAAAGTCACAACAGCTGAATGAAAAGAAAAAAACAAAAGCGCCATCAGCCCGGAACCGTACTCGGATGGGTGACCCCCCTCCTGCGAAGAACTCCAATTGACATGAGAAGGTGCACACTCAGTTGCCAACTGACAGATACATCAGATTTTACCTACCTCTTTGGGGTCTTCATCGACATTCCACACCAGTTCCTAGTCAGCGCACCATCCACAAGACCTGTTTAAAATAGCACAAACAAATTGAAGTGGTAGCAGCAAACACACGTCGTTCGCTGTCACGGGCTGCAACAGAGAAGAACCCCTTGAACAGTCACACCACCGTAACGTTAGATACCTGTGCAGCTGAAGACAGCTCAGAGAGTCCACTCACCCCCGCTCCCGTTCCCACCGTAAGGCATCGCTCTAATATGGGCTCCAGATACTGACAAACAAGTACGAAACATGCTCGCTATGGGGGCCAGCTATTGATAGACGAGTACGAAAAATGCTATGCTAGGCAGAACTAGCCACCACAACCCCAAAAGCAGGCAAGCTGGACACCCATTTGTCGATGCAAGAAGAGAGCTCCACGAGCACACAATTAAAAAGGGGAAGAGAATCGAATCGCTCACCAAATTCCGGCTTCAACTTTGAATACCTATACCTACTTAAGCCAAACACCAACCCCCCAAATCCCTGCAGGTAGAGAAGCAATGCAACCGGCGGGCATGAGAACGCTGAGCCAAAAATGCTAATTTAGTTCAGTGTAGCACAATCGCTACCTTGTCCGTCACAGAGAAACTTATGAAGAACATTATCTTCCAATCAAGGCACTACCAGCACAACCGATTGAATTCATCAGTCGGTTATCCTGCCTGAAAAATGCGCTACCGCAAGCTGAAACTGATAAAGCAAGAAAGCAGACAACAAGGTCGGGAACGGAATAAAAGGTACCAAAGCACTACGCGCACTTACACACTGCAGGCACCCCCACAATATTTCACATCCCAAGAAAGAAAGAAAGAACACGAAAACACCACCAACAAGCTTAAGCTGAGTTGGTACACCTGTGAGCTGTTGAAATGCAGACCTGAGTTCGAATCCAGATGGAACCAGCGTAATGAAATTCCTGAATGACCCGGGAACGGTCAGTTTCACGATGATGATATCTCAAGGCCGTTGCCCCTTTCAAAAAAAGAAAACACAAAACCACCCACCTGGGTCCAGTCGCCTGTCATTCTGGGCTCTCACTGACCGCTGTGTGACCGACCAACCCCGCACACCAGCAGCAGAGTCCTGTGAAAGCTCAAAATGGAAGACAGCAGCCACAACAGAAGTATTGTTCGCGTAGTTGAAGACGCCAACACCAGCAGCGCCAGCAGCAGCAGCTGAATGAGATGAGAAGAGACTTGATTCGTCTATGTCCAGGAAAGCCGTCGTGGACTCGACTTTGGATCTCCGATCCGATACCCAGCAGACACAAAGCATGGCATTTTCCCTCCATCAATTGTCCTCGACTAGCAGCACCGACACCCCTGCCTCGACAAGCCTGCAATCATTGCAAGGGCAGGCGCACAAATATATGCAACTGAATAGGAACAAAACCTCAAAGACGGCAACAAAAAAAAAAACAAAGCACCTGGGGGACAAACATGCTGTATTGTTCATGCAGGTGGTTTTGGGAAAAATCAAACAGGTAATGCTGGGCAAAGCTCACCTCGTCTACTCCACCTGAAGGATCGGATTGCTCTCTTCTAGACAACGGTGTGACAACCTAACCCTTCACAATGTTAAGCTGTCTGTATACCAAAACTAAATGCTTGTGGCAATCAGACACCACACTATACATAATTTGAAGGAGTCCACGGACTGAAATAACAGGCAGTTGAATTGGCAAGATAGACAGAGTTACGCAGGTGGGGCCTAAAACTACTACAGCCTTCGCACAGAGCAAAACAACTGAAAATTTAAATTGTCAGTTAAATACTGCAGAAGTAAGGGAACTGATGAAGGGGGGTAAAAATACAAACAGTCAAAAGCCCTGATACCTTAGCGCAAATTTGCACAGATACCAAAAAAGAGATGAACTAGCACTTGAATTCAGCAGCTCATACTTCCAACCTCTTGCAAGGAGGTACCCCATCAATCAATACCCTGCCCACCCTAGGAAATTCAGAACAAATTGGGGTCTGGAACAAACTCACCCATACCCCCACAACTTGTTTCCTTCCTTCGCCGGGAAAAGCCCAGCCATCCTAATGTTACAAGGAAAAAAAAATCTCCAGAGCTAATCTGGGCATTTGCCCATGCAAAGAAGACTAACACGTGGCGCCAGTGGACTAACAGGTCATATGACTCATATCAGAATTCTGCAGACTCCACTTGTGAGGGAAAAGAAAGCTTTGCTAGTCCAAGAAAGGTTCACACCAGGACAGCAATCGGACAAAACAATGGCCGGTTCAGAGGCCCACCCAGTGGAATAGCGCAACTTCACAGATGCTCCGCAAGGAGGATTGGGAGGGCATCAGTTCTCAAAGAAGAAGAGCATAAATCAGGGCTAAGCAACCTGACAAGGAGCACCAGAACAGATTCAACGGACGGATCAGCAAGACAGAACACCGGCTGATCTGAGCATATCAAGGAATCGTCTCAAGAAAGCGTGGGTGGATGGGGTGTGCGTGGAGGCAAGCAGGGGGGGGGGGGGGGGGGAAAATACAATGAATGTTTCAACATCATATCCACCCAAAGAACTCCATGCGCATTGGGGAAGGGAGTGGTAGGGGGGTGGGATGGGGGAGCGGGAGGGGAGGGGTTTGAAGATGCTGCTGACGTTTGCGAGCCCGTGAGTTTTTCAGTTTGACTGTCTTTCCACATGATACGTCATGGATGCTGAAAAAAAACGTTTACAAAACTAGTCGCGCCTTGGCCTTCCAATTCAGTCCCATCCCGGAGAAATGGGGGCAGTTCAAGCAGCAGCGAGAGGGCCTCTCTCTCCCTCGGAGAGATTGAAACCCAAAATTCATGAACAGGCTGCGAAAGGGAAGGGAGAGGGCAGAGTACAGCAGGGGGTCGCAAGCCGAACAGTTTCATCCAGTGTGTAGCATGGCCATTATCACCACCGCATGCCAGTGGACTTTCAGTCTCTTCCTGTGCCGCTGAAGATTATCTACTGCTACCCATCCATCTCGTTCTGATCGATGCAGCTGCCCATGTGTGATATCTGTATCTACAGATGCCTCAATGTCTCCAAAGATCCGTTCCCGCTTAGCGCGTGACTTGGAACCTTTTGCTGGCTACTCTCCATCTCGCTATCTGCACTTTCCCTTCCTCTCCGCCTGTGAGTCTCTTTCCAACCTATCCCGGTTCATTGATGCATGTCGGTCGTCCAATACATACCTACCAGCGCGACAAGAAAGCGTTCCGTCTAGGTGAGCCCCATTCAGCCACCTGTCACCCTCTCTCTATCTCGTGGGTCGCTTTGGAAGCTGGGAGCGTAGTCCATGCCACACGCCTGACGAAAGATAATCAGATCAATAAGCATGCACCAAGCTCTCTTTCTCTTCTGCAGTCCACCCAATCAATGCTGGCTGCAAAGAGCGCTCATAAAAATCCCACCTACATCTATGAATCATTCGGCAATGAGAACACCAGCAGCATTTCCAAGACAAATCAAACGCCCACCTCCTCCTCCATACATCTTCGCACGCGACCTGCTGGCCCACCTTTCCCCCATTTTCGACAAACGCAGAATGGCGGCGCATTCTTCGCAGTGTCTGATTCCTCCGAAAAATCCAAATCTACGACTCCCCAAAACCATAATAAGTGTAAGCAGAGAAGACAAATGAAACCGGATCATAAAGGTACAAATGGACCGCAAAACAAAATTTATGATGCCATGCTAAATGAACGAGTCCATAAGGCAAATCACGACCTCCATAACCATGCCACTAGAACTCTCTCTCTCTCTCTCTCTCTCTCTCTCTCTCTCTCTCTCTCTCTCTCTCTCTCTCTCTCTCTCTCTCTCTCTCTCTCTCNCTCTCTCTCTCTCTCTCTCTCTCTCTCTCTCTCTCTCTCTCTCTCTCTCTCACACACACACACACACACACACACACACACACACACACAGAGAACATACACAGAACATACACAAATCTACCACGTCTCCTCCTCCCTGTCCTCAGGTGATGACAAATTTGCCAACCATTCGCCAGTCACAGCATGCTAGGGTAAACAATAATAAGATCGTAAAAGTGTTTTCACAAACTCATACATTAAATGAAGACAAAAAAAAAAAAATTGAAGTCAAGAGGTCATGATTACTTCAATAGGGATTTCTTCAACATCTTTATACCTATATATCACAATCACAATGAGCAACAAATAGAAGAGCAGCTTCAGCAGACGATATCTCTTCTCCTGCGCAAGAACATTAAATATCTCTGTCTCGTCAATCAAATGCTCCTTTCGGGAATATCTGTTAAACCATCACACAAAAGTGAACCACCACGGTGAGAGTCAGCTCCTTCCTTATCTTCCGTGTGTTTTTCATTGATTTACTTACACAGCAAAATAATTGGTTGGTGATCTTGCTCACTCTGCATGGTATCCGTGCAACAATTACCCCGCATAGATTCTACACCTCAAAAGACTAGGCAATTTTGAATTTTTCAACTCGTAAATAATTATAAATAAATGGCACGGCAAAAAAAAGAGTGAATCCAAGAAGGTCATACTAAACTTTCATAGACTCAGAGAATACAATCTTCGCATACTTTTCTTTGGGTCCTTTTCGGGTCCTTGGGGAACATCCGTTAAAATTGGAACGATACAGAGAAAGAAGATTAGCATGGCCCTGCACAAGGATGACACACATAAATCAAGAAATGGTCCAAGTATTGAAGAAAAAAATTTCCAGAAATCTTTTGTTGCCTTAAACCACTAGTACCTCCGCCAGTGTTGGGACATTCGGGAAAACTGGCAGTTTTCCCAAAGTCCCCGCCCAAAGAGTTCAGAGGTGCCAGAGGCTCGGCATCAATTGTATTTCCGAATACCAAAAAAAAAAAAAAAAAAGAAAGAAAGATGTGCTCACATCAGTACTCAAAGGAACGCATCTACCCAGAAACATAGCCTGTTTCGATTTTCGTATCTGTGTTTTCTTTTTTTTTCTTTTCTTGCGATCCGCTTTTAGTGGCAGGGCGCATTCCAAGGGCAGCTGACACTTTTGCAATGGACGGCGCATTCTCATATGTACTCCAGATTCTCTATCCAGCTTCTTTCACGTCCAAAAGAGTTATTATTGCCTTTTCTTTTTTTTGTTCTCATTTTTGTTTCTGCTGCCGTGATCACAGCAATCTATAACGCCCGTTCAGAGGGCATACTCTCACATGTACTCCAGAATCTGTATCTAGCTGCTTTCACGTCCAAAGAGTTGTTGCTTTTTCTTCTTTTTTTCCTTTTCTTTCCTTTTCTCTTTTCCTGCTGCCGTGATTTCAGCAGGGCTGTAACGCCCGTTGGGAGTGCATACTCTCACATGTACACCAGATTCTGCATCCGGCTGCTTTCACGTCCTTAGCGTTGTTGCTTTTTTTCATTGTTCTATATTTTTCTTCCATTTCCGAAGAGAAGCAGAAAACAAAACACAACGGGACCCAGGCTCGGCAACTTTTTTTTTTTTTTTAATTGCACATTATATTGCACACCAATTATAAAAGAGGCCGGGGACCTCACAATTCCACCAGGAGTTATCCCCGCAGCATCAGCCTGTTTCGCTTACAGCCATCAGGGCTCAGCAACTTTCGGTGCGCAGTGAAATTCAGGGTCTGCAAAAACGGGCTCGGAGGTACTAGTGGTGTAAACTTTAAATGAGTTTTGAAATTCTAGAATTAAAAAAAAAAAAAATCTACAATTGTTTTACTTGAAAAAAACAAATTCTAGAATTCTTTTTTACTGGAAAAAAAAATTCTAGAATTCTTTTTAACGATTTTTCTGCGCACATGCACCACGCGGTCCACCAGTATGTCTGATCTGAACGAAAAGCTATCTCTGCAAGCTTACTCAGAAACTCGTGCATATGTGTGTCATCCATCAGCTCAAAATGACGTTTAATTACAGCACACCTTGCCTCCAAAATCTCTCCCCGAGTGGCATTGAGCAGAGACTGCTGATGTTCATAGGGGGAGGGGACCGGAGGGGAGGCACAGTGACTGGCCCATCGAAGAAGCTCGGTCCTGATGCTACCGGCTAACCCCTGGCCGGTATCGCCCACCTGCTGTAGCAGGTATCGCACCTGCTGGTGGGTGCAGCTCCCGCATGTTCCCTCGTTGGAGGCTTGAGCACGGATGTGGCTGCTACGGGGTTCCCCGTAATACTATAATGACA